CGAAGTTATGACTGACTAAAAATTCCACGCCTATGTTATCTGCCACGCCACCTTTTACAAACTCATTTATATATACCTTGAGATATGCATCTACCATAGATATGTTTGCATACCAAATTTCAAGTTCATGTGACTTGCGGTTACGAAGTTAGAGCTGATTAAATAATTCATGCCCCCTTTTCCAATACCGCCCATTTTTTCCCATGAGTATGGAATTAATTTTATTTATCTCGACAGCAAGCTCCAATGCTCTACCACAAATATTTCAAGAGATATACAACATGAAAATTTTAGTTAGTATAGGAGGTGCCACGCCCTGTTTTCCAGTGCTGCCCATTTTTCTCTATGCCTATAACCTTCCCGGGGTAAAAGCANTACCTTACTATAAGCACCTATGTACCATAGATATGTCTGCATACCAAATTTCAAGTTTATGTGACTTTTCAGAAGTTATGGCTGAATAAAAATTCCACGCCTATGAAATGATCCACGTTCCCTTTTACAGATATGTCTGCATACTAAATGTCATATTAATGTGACTTNCGCCCATTTTTTCCCATGAGTATGGAATTAATTTTATTTATCTCGACAGCAAGCTCCAATGCTCTACCACAAATATTTCAAGAGATATACAACATGAAAATTTTAGTTAGTATAGGAGGTGCCACGCCCTGTTTTCCAGTGCTGCCCATTTTTCTCTATGCCTATAACCTTCCCGGGGTAAAAGCAAATAAGTGTGCAAAGTTTCGTGCGATGCCGTGCCGCGGTTCAGAAGTTATAAGGTTTCCCATTTATATATATATAGATTAATCATTTGTCGGAACCGTTAAAATCGGACCACTATAACTTAAAGCTTCCATACAACTGATTGCTCATATGTTGATCACCCACTCGTGTATACTTAGTTTTCAATTTCATTTCACATAATAAAAAGGTTGCACAATTCACATATTTACGAACTCTTTATTTCAATAATATATCTACATACTTCTCAAGTTATATAATAAAGACATTTTTTTGCATTTTAAGACCTGTCGTAGTCAGTATACCAGGAACTAAATAGGTTTTTTCCCTTTACAACTTCTTAGTCCATAGTTGATAAATCCATTTCAGCTAAATATTTGTCACACACATTTGTCATTCATGTTTAACATTCATTTATGTAGAGAAGTGTTACTAAATATACGTATATATGTATGTATGTATGTATATAGTGTAGATCTACACAGTATACGAATCCATACAGAAAAGTTTAATAGATACACCCACACATATCGGTTGGTATTATTTGAATGTGTGCTTGTATCATAATTACATATAAAAATATTATTGGGGCATAATCATAGTCTTCAGTTAGAGCCAACTTTAGTTAAGAGTAATACCACTAGGTTTTCATGTGTATCCCTAGTCAGTTTGGTACTATATTCTAACACAAAATTCTATTACAAAAGCAGTAGATTAGATGTTTTATGTCAACGTGCCTACCTTGATATTTCAATTTTTTATGGTTATAAGCTACGCCGAGGCCAATTTAACAACATATCGATACCTGGGTGGAAGATCGCCCTATCTCAGCTGCCGATTCAAAAAAGCCCTATCTCAGCACATTTTCAATGTATTTTCAGCTTATGTAGGCATTTTTGAACCGAATTCTGAGATAGGGCGTTCTTCAAACAAGTTCCGAGATAGGGTGTTTTTCAATAAAATTCTTAAATAATTTTTGAAAAATTTTCCGCGACAAGATGTTTTTGAACTTGCCGCTGGAATTGGAAACGTAATTTTAAAGAAGCAAAATTATGAAATAAGCGTTTTGTCCAAGATTTACCTGCAATAAACTTTTCTTGCGTTGCTATTACGAAAATCTAAATAATTCTTCATTCTTTAAAATTCCGAAATTCCGTTTTATTGTTATTCATAAAAGGCATTTTCACAAATATGTCCCCAAAATTACGACATATATGCGAAAAACAAACAAGACTAATGATTTAATGCTAGCCATAGTTAAGAGTTTTTTGTCACTCTCTAACATTCGAGTCGACTCTAAGTGAAAAAGCAGGCACTAGCACGACCATAATAAACTTAATCTATGCGCTAACTCAGTTAGAGCCCACTTTTTCTTAACTATGATTATGCGTCATATTGTGTATGAATGCGTGGTGTGTATGCATTTGTTTGTGTGATTATGTAACTTCACTTTTCGGTTTTGATTCGTATTTGGTTTTTTTATTTATTTTTAATTATTGTTACTTCTCGTTACACGTTTTCACACGTTTTTACAATACATACATTTTACAAACAACATTTTCTTCTCTTGTCTTCTTAAGATCTTTCTTTATTATTATTATTATTACTATATTTTTACGCATTGCAGTTTCATTCATAATATTTTCCAATTCATAGTAGTCTTTGTTTATATTCATTTCGTGTTGTTTCTAGTTTTTTTTTTGTTTTCAATTAAAGAAGGCCACATTAAATTTTTAACTAATAAATATAATACAAATATATTTTCTAAACCCTTTAATACTTTATTTGCTCTCGCTGCTAATATTCACAGTTTTTGTTGTTGTTGTTTTTTAAACTTTTCAACATACGATGCATATGTATGTAGTGCTTAAGCACCAATAAATACCAAAACTAAATATGAGAGTGAAATTTACTAAGAAATATAAAAACAATACTTGCATATATCTTATATACATACATATGTAGTCAGTCAATAAAGTTTAGGTGCGTTATGGGCAACTATTTTTTAAATATTTTATTTTTCTCCAATTTTGTATAAAAATATGGTTAATTCTACAACAATAGCTCCAAAAATCAGAGTTCCAAGCATTGTGCAAAATTAAAGATAATTTTGGAAAATTTAATTCAAATATTGCACATTATTTCATATGTAGAAAATTAGCGACACCTTCAAAAAAATTGCTAAAAATCAGTGGGCAGTCCTAGCTACCTCAAACTTCCACTTTGTTATAATAAAATTAAATGGACTAAAAAGCGGCGCACTAACTTTTTTCTAAAGAGCATAAATAAAAAGTGCAATATTTGCATGAAAATTTGCAGAATTTCCTTTAATATTGCATGAGGTTTGGAACTCTGATTTTTGGGGTTTTTGTCGTAGAATTAACCATATTTTTATAAACAAATTTGCGAAAAATAAAATATTTAAAAAATAGTTGCCGGTATTGTAAAAAATTCGCTGTACCTAAACTTTTTTGATTGGCTGTATATATACTAATGGCGTATTCTTTTCTCGAAAAAAATGTCACCTTCTTATGTGGCAACATTATCACAGTGCAACATTTTAAAGAAAGAGCACGCAATATGCATGTGAAGATGCTGAGAAAAGAACACGAAAACCTGACAGCCCTGGCGCAGGGCAGAATAAATGCAACATTATTTCGAGAAAAGAAAACGCTATAACAGTACTAAAAAATTTTGATTGTGTTGAGTTTCCTAGAACTTTCAAGGCCTTCGAGCAAATCTAAGGCACTCCGCATATGAAGCGCCTAGTCATAGTAGTGTAATGAAGCTTTTATACCGAACACATGTATTTCAATAAAGCTCTGTATATTATGATTCATAATCATGTTTTCGCCTAATCGTTAAAGCTTCACGAATCGAAGCGCCCAACATTGGGCGCGTTTCTAAGACGTAGCTGTTGCTAAACTGTTAAGTGTTTGTTTCAGAAACGCACAGTTGAGTAGTTCCGCTCAGCTCAACGGTTGGCAACTTTACACCATTTTTTCCATCATAAAATTATTTCGCTACATGAAGTCAACAATTTATTTAAGTCAAAAATGATGTTTCCCCTCCGTCAGTTTTCATAGAAAATTTAAATTAAAAAAAAAATAAAAAATTTCTGTAAATTGCTGGCGAAACTGGCTATTAATAAAATAAACCAAACGTGCAAATACATATATTAAAAATAAAATAAGAAAAACTCCATTATAAATCCTTTGCTATACATATTTTTGGCTTATTATTTTTTTTTTATGCTGTTTTATTTAATTTTGCTTGTTTACAAATGTTTTGGCAGTTTATGTATCATACCGTTTCTAAGACGTAACTGTTGAACTCTATAGTTGACAGCATTTCAGAAACAGTTGAGGTAAACAGTTGCGTCTTAGAAACGTGTCCATTGTAAGGTGCTGGTCGTTTTTAAATCGGCATTTGTTTACTTTTTTGTGTTGGAAATAAAAATTATTTTACATTTCAATAGGTAATAATTGAAAAATGATGATTTTGTGCTAAAATTCGTCCCAATTGTATTAAACCATAAGCGTTTAAGCAATAGTTTATAGCAGAAATATTTGTGGAAGTGTATTAGTGAGAAAGATCGGCCAGAAAATGTGTTATGTGTGTGCCAGCAGGGCTTATGCAGGGCGCACAAGTGTGCAGAAGTTGAGTCGTCATGCATTCGTTTCGGCATGACGAAACTATTACTCTACTATGATTAGGCGCGTAATGTGCGGAGTGCCTAAGGGTACATACACACAGGAAGCGGTGTCAAGCCGAGCGTAATGAAAGCTTCAAATTACTGTAGTTTATGCACATACATATATGAAAGTGTTCATACAGCAAGCCTTTTCAAATATACAAATTTGCAGCCAATTCCCTGCGAAAAGCTCCGGTGCATCTTGTTCAGTGTAAACAACAACCGTGTCTTTTTTATGTACGTACCCTAAGATGATTCTACTTAAAACAACTACAGTACAAATAAATCCATAGGTTTTTGTAATAAAATAAAATTTTGTTTATTTTCTTTATGTAGCTGATTCATAAATCTAAAATGTTCATTTTTCTAACGCTAATCGAAAACTTTCCTAAGTGGGTGTTTACAAGCATTAATTTTCCATGGACAATTTAGTTAACTTGAAGCACAGTTTTAATATTTTTTAACACCCGAAAATTAAAATCATTCCAAAAGGAATTCGCAAACAACTCAATACAAAATTATGCGTAAAGAACCAAAACAAAACCAAGATTTTTCATTGACAATGTTCGAATATGAAAGCTACATAGAAACTAAAAACTCAGTCTATCGAATAACGGTTTAAAAAGATAATAAAGTCGATTACCACGCATCTTCAGCTAATATTGCATGCGCTTTTTATTAGAATGAAATTAAGTGCATTTAACCTACAACGGAAAAAGTTCTAAGGCCTTTCTGAAATTGCAGTACACTAAAATAGGTAAATATAGTAAGCTAAAATGTATACAAAAATAATAAACATACTTGTGTACAAAATTTCATAAACATGCCAAAAAGGAGACGTGTTAAATATTAATTTCCATTCGCTTCAAAGCAATATTCGAAAAAACAATTTTTATAAATGCTAAGTGTATGCTATGTTTGTAGACAATGTACATTAAAAAATGCACTATTATTATTATGTATGTATGTGTGTAAATAAATATGCCAAACAAAAAAATATTAGAGGCTTTCTAAACTCAGTGACACATTGTAGTTTCCAGCAAAAGCTATTCAGTTCACCAGTCTATGGAAATGTTGTATATCTGATTTTTTCTTTGTTTAATACAAATATGGTTTTATTTATTTATTCTTGCTTTTTTTTTGTGTGTTGTCATTTATTTCCTGTATCTAAGTTTATCACAGAGTTCGATTTAGGCTGGTAAATATTGGTGCTTGTTGCTTTCTTTTACAAGAGCCTTTTTTACGAACATCTTCACTCGATCAGCTAATTGTGAAAATTACTATGAAAAATTGTCGGTTCGTTCTGTCTTTCTCATCTACTACATATACGTTGTTTTTTTTTCTTTTGTTACATTCGCTTTCGATGATAAATTAGATAAAAAATCATACATACATTTACATATACATATTTCCTTTGTACCCTATATTTTATATATATCCTGAACTGTTACAAGTGCAAATAAAGTTTCGCTTCTGCTTCTCCACTCTTCTCCGTTGGCATTTTCCATCTTTTTTGACTGGCGACGACGATGCTATTGATTTTCATATCAGAATCCGTTACGCTACTCATACTTCCACCGCTGCGCCATCGAGACACGCCCTACTTATATATTGATGAAAAAATGCTAATAAACTTGTTGATTGTGTTGATTGGATGATGTTTTTTGGACTTGATGGACATTCATATCTTTGGTAAATTATCGAATCGCATCACGTCTTTAATAAATAGAAAGAATTGTCAGGTATGAATTACATAGAAAAAGTTAGTTAAAATTAAAGTACCTATTTTTGAGATTTTTACTAAGAAGAAGTACTCATAAAACTCAACATATCCACAAAATTTCAGAGAAATCAGTTAAGTGGTTAACGACATATGAATATTTTATAAGAAGTGCTCGGAGGCATCGCCATTTTCTGAAATTTTTCATATGCGCCGAAAACATGTTATCGGCGAGTCGGAATGCTAGATCTGCCTCGAAGACGAAGAAACTTTCGTACAGCCTTAGCTAGACAAAGATTAACTGACTACAAAACTCCATTAGTCAAGCCCCACAAATAAGGAAATATACTCCTAGTGCTCTTTTAAGATTCACTAGGGAAGCCGAATGTGCCTTGGACATACTGGATTATGGACTCTCGTTAGAGATGCAAAAGACCTTTCAGCACGTAATGTATCTTGTTCTGACATACCCGTGCATTTATATATCTATCGTGGGCACACGTAAAAGAACGGAGCCACGAACGGCTTAATCAATCTTTTCATTCTGAGACATTCCTTTAGGTTGCTATGAAACCACCGTTGAGGTTAACAAAGTCATAATATCCTGTGTAGGTATAAAATAGTAAATGCACTCTTTGCTTGCCCAACCCTGGTTTATAGCATTAATCAATTCCTCATGCTGGTGCTTCAAATTCTGACTGAAAGACCTACCAAAAAATTGTTTAGGTTACACGCCTATTTAAGGTGCATACATACATCACGTCAAAACTATAAACACAAATCAAACTGATTTTTATACAAATCTTACCGTAGATAGTGATGTTTCTTGCACTTTATACGCCTGTCGTTGATAATTGACCAGCTTGGCTCTGTTAATGGGAGCGCCTATTTATAAAGAAAAAAAAAAAAACGAAGAAAGAAACGAAAGCATAAAATAAGAATTAGTTCAAAAACGTGAAATATCAAAAACAAACCATTTTTGATATTCTTAGATACTTGATTTTTGATCACTAACCAATATAGCTGAGAAGCACCGGCAGGAATATGAGTCCGTGAGCAGCACCAATCAAAACAATGCCCAAATACATACGGAAATAAAATACTTGAAAAATTTGACTTTTGGCAAAAGCCAAAACCAAAATACCGCCGAATTTAGTCAGCGTAATGCCAGAGAATATGGAGCTGCCCATTTTAGTGAGGCAATCCGCTGCGCGCTTCTCACGTGTTTTCTCCATTGAAATTGAGAAACTGTGCACCAGATGCGAGCAAAACTCTACCGAGATACCAACAGCCATTACCAGATTCACCAGCGATACAGCATTCAACGAAATATTCCAATAATACATAATGCCACCGAGATTTATAACAATCATTGTTATCGTTATGACCACCACCAACGATGAGTGTATATCGAAACCCATTAAAACAAAAGTGACAATGAATATCGCCAGCACTGAAATGCCCATGCTTTGTAGTGTGTCAGGCCACATAGTTAAATACTGTTCGTAGAATACGTAAAACACCGAATATGGAAATACTTCGACATCAAGCGCTTGTTCGAGCGGCACGCCTTGTGACATTAAGCGGCCACGCAACATATTTGTTACATTGGCGGAGATTTTGCGTGCGGCACGTAACGCTTCATAGTAGTCAGCTGATGTTTTCAATATGGAATGGTAAGCCATGAAATAGGATGCTTCGACGGTTGACAAATTTGTACTTGGATTAGTTTTATATTGTACAGCATTGCCGTAAGCAGCGTGACCAGCTTTAGCACAACTATCGTCAGGATTATCGCGTAGGAAGTAAGTTAGATATTTGCCAAAATCATGCGCTGTAGGACGTTGCATTTCAGTTTTGTTGATTACACAGCTGGAGCAGGCAGTGTCTGGAAATGGAAATGAAAAAAAAAATAAATAAATAAATCAAACATTCGGATACGCCATCCATGTCCTTCGATTTTTAAAGCAATCAGCAAAAAAAACCGGAACTAATCTTTTAAATATTCCTGTGCATTGATAATGCTAAAACAAACCCAATGGAAACTTACTCTGATGTGGACAAAAATCGCCAGTTTCGGGAAAATATTTGCAGCAACTTGACGATTGACTCCAATCAAAATAGTCATCAATCCAACTGGAGCCAGGACGCGCAATGTAGGTCACATTTGCACGACGACTGGCTAGGTAAACCTGCGTTAGTACACTGTCATCATTGCAAAATTTCCCGGAACAAACGAGATTTTGATGGAATGTTTTGGAAAAGTCCAGGCCGGATGACAAAACGAAGTAAACCGGTGGTCCAATACTCAAGTATTTGTTAAGCGCTTTGAAATAGTGTAGCACAAAACTATCTTGCGGCATTGACAGCTCCTGATCGAGACCGATCTCAATGCGTGGCGCTATAGCAACACTGCTGCATAGCCAACCAAAGAAGACAATCATAACAATGACACGCATAGTCTTTTGCATTAGGAATGGTACATAAACACTTTTAAAGAACTTGTACAGTAGACCCTCAGTGTTTGGTAGAGCGTCGCTTTTCTTGCCACGTATAAAGCAGAAAATATCCAATCTATTTTCAGCTTGCCGCTTGGTGTCGAGTGTTAGTAGACTGACGAAACAGGTAATTTGTAGTAAGAAGTCGAAGAGCAGCGCCATGCCAGCATACAAAGCGAAAGCCCTCACCGCAGGCATATCGGAGAGTCCGCCAAGGAAGAAACAGCAGCTTTCACTAACCGAAGTCAGCAACATTGATGGGCCAACGCGACCTAAAATGCGACCAATATGATCCTCGTGTGTTTCATCGGCGCGACGTGCATCGCGCTGATAAGTCTGCACTAATATGAAGATATTATCCACTCCCACAGCTAAAACCAAAAATGGTATAACTTCGACAATAATAAGTGTTGCTGGTACGCCAATGTAGCCGAATACGCCTACCGAAGACACTACGGATGCCAACACAATGATTACACCACCAACACCCAATGTAATTTTACTATCGATCAGCGCTCGACGTATCTCCTGCACATGCCCCAATGAAATGGCAATGTAAGCGAACATGATTAAATATGAAACAAGTATTGTCATAACATCGGACTGCGACTCGCGATTTAATTCATCCTCAATCGAACGTTCCGAAGTGAAAGCAATATCCATATGTTTGCTCATGCGAGTTTTTGTGTAATTCAACATAAACTCCACATAACGTTGCTCCCATTCCAATGCAGGGCGCAATTTGCTCTTATCATGATAATTGTTAACAAGGAATGTGAGAATGATGGCATTTGCGCGCTCGTATTTCGTATCGCCGGAAAGTTGTTCACCAGGCGGCAAAAAGCCACCCAAGGCGACAGCTGGATCCACTGGTCCGCCATAGGGGGCCAGACAAAGGTACGGATTCCGCGTACATTGATACAAGCCATCCAAGTAAGTTATCTGCGAAATGAAAACAAAGCATCTTTAGCAGGGGACATATGGGTTGTTATTATGGATTTACTCGTTATAACTTGATTCAAATTTATTCGGTTATATGTATGTGTGTATATGCATGCTCGTATTTATTTTGATATTTCGATCAAATTTAATCAGACTATCGGTTGAGGGCAATCGAAAAATCAAATATTATATAAAATAATAAAAATCACACCAAAAATTGTATCATGATTTATAAATAAATTCCTACTAAAGAATTTTGTATGCGAAAAATCAAACATTTTCTATGCACTCCTAGATTACCTCGAAATCGCCATCCTCATCGGTTTCATCCAAACGTTCGACATCATTGCCAAAATATCCCCAAATCGATTGCACAATACACTGCGAACTATCCTTCTTTGTTCCCTCGCTTGACAAAGGCGAAAAGCAAATATCCTCCAATACTGTGCCATTTTCCTTCCGTCCTAAATTCATAATTTCTTCCTGCAACTCGAGTACTTGCGTGAGGAAAGTTTTGTCAAAAACTGGACCGAAATGTAGTGGACCATTAGAGGTGTTGTGCATAATATCGGGCAAATCGACTGCGTGGATTATAATCTGGAATATCAAAGAAGTATATTTGATGTAAGATATACAATATTTTTCCGAATCGCTCTCGAGCGGTTTTCGTATAACTAATATTAACTTTCTCTTTCGAAATCTTTATTTTTGTACTTCGTATTCACGAATTATTCTTTTTTCGAATCACTCCAAAGCGATTTTTACTCTGGAACTGCTCCTGAACTTTAATTTTTATCTTTCGAAGCTTTATTTTTACTTTTAGAACTTAATTTCTTTTATTCATTTTATTTTTATTTTTTTATTTATAATTAATTTTTCGAAGTGATCTAAAATGATTTCTACCCTCGAATTGATAGCGAAATTTATATTTTTTTAAACCTTTTATAGTTTTTTCCTCGTTTTATGATTCCCGAATTTTCTTTTGTCCGAATCGGTTTTATACCCGAGCGCACTTGTGCACAAGGGTATATTAATTTTGTTCACATAACGGTTGTTTGTAACAGCCAAAACGAATCGAGATAGATATAGACAAATGTATACATAAATGCTCAGAATGAATAGAGAAGTCGATTAAGCCATGTCTGTCTGTCCGTCCGTCTGTCCGTCCGTCCGTGTACACGATAACTCGAGTAAAAATTGAGATATCTCAACGAAATTTGGTACGTACGTTTCCATTCATCCAAGGTAGGTTGGTATTGAAAATGGGCGAAATCGGACTTTAACCACGCCCACTTCCCATATAACGGTAATTTCCAGAAATACGAAAACTGCGATATTTTAGTAACTACTGAAGATAATTCACTCAAAATTGATATTTACAATAATTTTTAGACGAAAAATAAGAATATTATAAATTTTTGGAAAATGGGCGTAGCCACGCCCACTTATGGTTACATGTGTATATCTTGGTAACCGCTGCACCAATTTCTTCCAAACTTGGCACAGTTGTTGGGCCTTGGTACAGCATACTAAATGGCCGAAAATTTAAAAAATCGGACAATAACCACGCCCACATCCAATAATAGAGAAATACAAAATCTTCGAAAAATCAGTAAATTTTAAAGCTAATTTATTAAAAATTGATGCTTGCAACAATTCTTTACCAAGAAATACGTTTAGGGTAAAATTTTGGAAAATGGGCGTGGCACCGCCCACTTATGATCACATATCTGTATCATATGTATCTCGGCAACCGTTCTACCAATTTGTACCAAACTCGGTATTTTTATTGTGCTTGCCACATAAAAGCAAAACGTTGAAAATTATTGAAATCGGGCTAAAATTACGGCCGCTTTTGATATAACGGTAAATTTCATAAATGCTTGAAACTTCAATATTTCGAAATTTAAGGACGCTAATTTACTCAAAATTGATACACCCCGGCTTACCATCTAGCGGTAGGTTTCGAAAAGGTGAAAAAACATATATTTAATACTTGCACCGGGTATTTAATATTCGGCTCCGCCCGAACTTAGACTTTCTTACTTGTTTATCTTAAGTCTTTGCTCGCAAAATATTTTATTTTTTTTTTTGCATTTCACGAGCGTTTTCGAATAGCTTATTACATAATTTTCTTCTAAACTTTTTTTTTCATAATTTGCAAGTTATATTTTTTCGAATCGCTCTAGGATATTTACAATATTCGAATTACTCGCAAAATTTTAAAAATTATATTCTGTCCACATTTTATTTATGCGGGGTTCTTTTATTTTTGTCTTGGCAAAACTCCCGTATACCTATATTTTTTCCTTCGAAAATTATTAACACGCAATACACATCAAAAAAGTTCTTCAATCCATCCACTCACTCACCTGCTCGATGCGATAGAAGGGCTGGAAATGCGAATCGAAAAATTCCCGTTCAATACGTGATTCTGATTGTGGCGAAGCCCATAATTGCACTGGATCGGTAGTGATATGCAGGAACTTGATACCATAACCCATGGCTATGACAAAACAAATGCCACCGATTAGCGTAATTTTTGGACGTTTAGCGAAGAATTTGCCCCAAGCTGTGAAAAAGGCTTCGAGACACTTTTCGGTTTTAGCGCCGAGATTTTCAAAATAACCAATTTCATATTCATCAAGTTGTACCTGAGCACCGTCGACTTCATTTTCATCATCTACAAAAAAATTAAATTAGAGAAGAAAGTGTTAGCATACAAAATTTGTAAATAAATTTCATATATACCCAATTAAAGGAAAAGTTGTTAAAAAAATATTGCACACAAATAGCGAAGCTTTGAAGTGAGTTGATACATTATTAGCAGAGAATATGAAGAAAATAAAACTTAATAACGAGCAGTATGAAAGTTTCGTCAGCATCTTCAAACTACATACTTAATTGTGCAATTAATTGTTGAAGTCTTGGAGATTTTAATTATCAGTTTTCTAATTAAGAGGGGAAAATGGTTTTTTAGTATTTGTAAAAGTTAGTATTTAGTAGTAAGCAGTGAATTAGCAACTATTAAAAAATCACTTTGGAGTGAAGAAGAGTTTGACAAGTGAAAGTCCATAATTTGATAGCATCAAACCTATATCAACTCTGCATCATGGTTGTTTTTTGTCAATTCATGAGTTTAAATATACTTAATTTCTTAAAAAAAATTAACTGCTTGCATTTGGGTCACTAATTAATTTTTTTTTTTGTTTGGCACGAGTTTAATTTTTCAACACGCGAATTGGAAAATTTACAACAGTCTTTCGAAATTTTTTTTTTAAGTCCACGAGCCAGAAAAAATTCTTGTTTTATATATGTAGACTGAGGTGCATTTCCAAAGGAAAGTTGTGGTTTTTCTACCGGAACTTTAAAATTTATTGTATTTAAAGGCTTCCGCCAAAATGCAAAATTATTAAGATTTCCGTGAGCTAAATCGATTTGAAAATCCTTTAAAAATGTCGTTATTTTTATGCAGGTCTTTTCAACTTAAATTCTTCTATAATCTGAGTTGATTTAAAAAAAAAAAACAAAAATTTAAACTAATTATGTAACTAACCAGGTGTACTCTTGTTTTCGTACGAATCGAAAATTTGAAATTTTTGTATAGAAAATGATAGGAAAATTTCATGATATTTATAGAATACTCGATTTTGGAAGGTATTTTCAAATCGGTGCAGCTCACTAAATCTTCCGAAATAAATTTTATAATTCCAATGTAAAAACTGTACCGATTTTTATTTTTTTTTTTTAATGAATGAGTGAACGATGCACCCTAATATACATATGTATAGGTAATTATAAAGTACTCGCAATCTGGTTAATGAATCCTTATTTTTTGTCCCGATTGTAATTTTCAGCTCACGAGTTGAGAAATTTGTTCAAGTAAGTCCGTTCCGTTCAAAATTGTTACCAGATCAAAATTTTTGTCATGAAAAAAATTCAGATCGCTACTACAAATAAATCTCAGTCGCATTTTTAGAAAAAAAAAGACTGCTCTCTTTTCACTGATTCATTTTTTTCACCAGTTTAATTTTTACATATAAACATACATATTTACATTTTATGTAAAATTATAAAATACTCGCGATTTGGGTAGCGAATGCTAATTTTTTGGCATAAGTTGAATTTCTTAGCTCGCGGGTTTAAAAAGCTTTTCCAGTGTTAAAAATACCGCCTTTACACGTATATTCGATTAATATATGTTATATTTTGTTATCCGGATATCCGGTTAATATCCATTTGTTCGGATTTTTTAATGAGATATTCAAATTATCCGGATATTTAAAAAACTTGGTTACAACTCCCAGCCCTACTATTTACGATATACAAAAGAATAAATAAAGAATTTTTTTTTTATTATACCATCGAGTTATTTATTGTAAATCGTCACTAGACACGAATAAAGGCGCAAGCTCAAAAGTTGACCGCGAAAAAAAACGCAACAATAAAACTTCAGCGAAGAAAGACTCTTAACATAGTTGACGGCGAAGAAAGACGCGTTAAAATATTTGACGGCCAAGAAAGACCCGTATACTTATTTTCGCGGTCGACTATGTTTGCAGGTGTAACATTCCCCAAAGAGTTTTTAGGGAATGATGCTGAAGGGACAGTCTTTGGCCAGGTATAAATCTATGTTTACGCGTCTTTCTTCGCCGAAGTTTTCCTTAAGCGTCTTTTTTAGTAATATTATCTTTACACGTCTTTCTTCGCCGACAAAAACACAGGTGCGCCTTTCTTCGTGTGTATAATTTTTTTGGGGAAATTTCAAACGGTTTTTTTGGAGAATTCAAACATGAAAAAGTGCAAAATACTTTTCTACTTACAAATTTAATGACGTTCTTTAAAGATGCGTGCTTACAATGCAATGAAATGGGAACTAACGTTTTTTTTTTCCTTTAGTAAAATGCTTAACAGCGCTAACTCTTTTACAGTTATTAATATTTCTACAGTTTATAGCGATAACGAAAATGAAAAGTAAAACCAATTAACACACATAAACGCGCACGCAGACACACACACACACACACAGTTGCGAAAACTGTTTTTGAAATATAAATAGATGGACAGCAGCAGATATTTACACAAAGCAAATCAATTTCGAAACATGATTTCACAATCATATCTACAACACTAAATTTGTTTCATAACTTTCAAATTCAACATACTGGCCAGTTGTGATTGAAGTGGGGAATCCTCCTCGGGTGCAAACTCGTTACTCACTTGTCCACCAGTAAATCGGTTGTTAACTGTGGCGCTACAAAGCCCACCACTATTCATCAAACCATCACCTACTAGATAACCAATGCATAAGAAGATCACATACATAAATATTAGTTAAGAAAAAAATAAAGTATAGTATAAGCTAAAGCATGGAAAAGTATGCGGCATTTAGAAGTGTATGCCAAGGGCAACACTCGATTTTATTTCTCTCAAATATGAAATGAATTTTCAAAATCACCTTTAGCGGTTTAGTTAATTTGCAGTTGGAAGCGTAATTATCTTAACATTATATCTATTACGAATATTAATATCATTAAAAACTTTGTAGTGGCCAAAATAAATTAGCCAGTATCTACAAGGATTCTAGGTTCACTTGCTTTTTTTTTTGTATGAATTAAACTTTACAGAAGTTTCGTTGTTGGCGTCCCCTCACTATTTCTTAATAAGGATATTTTTTTTTTGAAGTCATCACACAATTATCATAAATATTTTACTTGGAACGGTTACGCTTTGAAAAAAAAAATAAGGTAGCAATGGCGATGACGGGTCGAAAAGCAAGTACGAAGTATCTAACTTTTATAAGAAGCTTCTCAATAATGCTCTACTTTTCGCGATTTTCTAGCTGGCGAAAAAAAATATAACTCCATTACCTTTGCTTAGACGTGTCGAACCATAATTTTGTTCGGCAAAAATAACTAAATATATGTACATATGTGCATCAACATACATAACATAAAACAACTGTAAATGACCATAAAATTTTCAATATAATTTTGTTTTGTGGTAGTAATGAGTAGAAACTAAAATATATATCACGAAAAATAAGCATTTTATATAAGCAAATTAAGCTGAATAAGAGTCTCTCAAGTCTTGACAGAGAATAAAACGGTTAAATATGAGTCCTGGGAATCTGTACCCAAGCTACTGAGCTACCATATAAACGTACGGCTTGCGTTTGCTGAAAAGTTGAAATTTTGAACAAATGATTTCCAAAACGTAATTTTTTATGACGAAAAAAACAAACGGTTGTTGTTGTTGTTGGCTTTCACAAGTACTGGCAACCTTGCAAACTCGCGATTTGTTTAGCTTTTTCATATGCTGGAAAGCTTATTAAATTTGCTGGGAATCTCTCTGAAAATTTTTGGATTTTTCAGCAGGACAATGCACCAACACATACTGCACGCACCACAAACGATCTTCTTTCATCTAGAAATATACCAATTACCAGTTTTTGAGTGGCCAGCGGTCAGACCGGACCTAAACCCAATTGGGGACTTGTGGAACCTACTTTCGAGCAAAAATGGTCGGCAGTCAGAGACCATTAAACAATTCAGAAACTTTGCTGGTTAAGTGGAATGAAATAACCCCATTGCCATTGAAACAGTTGGTGGACTCTATGTCGAATAGAATTAACCAACTTTTTTTTAAGAAAGGTTAGCATATTAATAATTAAAAGAGCAAAGAAGTACGTTTTGTTAAGTTAAATTTAAAATATTTCGGCATGCACATATAATTATATTTAGATTTTAATATTGAAGATGAGTTTTGTCTTTGGCTACTACTATTTACATCTATAAAACAAAAATATATTCAAAAGTTTGTGGTTATTTCCAGTTGTTTTATTTCAAATCATGTTTAGGCACATATGTATGCTTATTTCCCTGATGTAGTCTGCGCTATGCTCTTTTCGACAAATACATTTGTACCTTAAGGTGGTCCAAAAATACATAAGAAAATTAACTTTTTTAATTTTTCCTGCTGCCACCCCCAGAACTGAAGGATATCAAAAATAAGGAGACACGAATACTTTTATTTTGAAATCGGTTAATATTTACCCGTGCCGCCGAGGTTTTGAAGATTTCCATGTAGTATTTTACATGGCGAAAATACATTTTTTCGTAGAATTGCTATAAAATCGTTGAAAAATAAATATTTTTTGATCGAATAAGACTATTTTCCTTCAGAAGTCTTCAAAAAATAACACTATGACGCTTATTTAACTTAAAAATTTTACTTAGTGTGTTTTAATAACCGATAATCCTATCTGTTATATACAAA